ATTCGTTCTTTTAGAAAACTCCTTTTGTGCTCCCTCTGCTGTCAGAAATGTTCTAATCAGACATGACGTTCCACCGTGTATTGCTTCAGTGACGGTCAAGGTTGCACAGAGGCAATGTCAATGGTCATACGGTTTCGAGATAACTTTTGTGGTCCATTAGGGGGGAAAAAATGCATAAGGTGATCGAGTACAACATACAGAAATCTATTTTACTGAAAACATGACAGCATTGATCACAAAATAGTTGTACTTTTCAAAGCGCTGATCCTGATAAAACAATGGGGGTCGATTTATAAACGTTCCACTCGTATAGATGGGCAGATGCCGTTCGCACGGCCTTACCGCCAGTAGATGCAGTCGAGTTGGAGTAGTGCTGTGCTATACGCTGGGCAGACGTTTTATAGATTATCCCCTATGTGTCTTGCTGTAGGTCCGTCTCCCAGAGTCTCCTTGGGAATTGCTGCAACATGCAAAGCGGAACATCATTGTTACTTTTACAACAGGATTCCCCCATTCTGGGCCTGTATAGGGGTGAGTGCAGCATTTACATGGGCTCCACATATTTTACATTTGATGGGTGCTCGTACCAAAGTGAAGACAGGATCAGTGCTGATTTGATCTTTTTTTTTTATGAACTAGCTCAATGCAGACATCTGCTATCCTCAGCAGTCACACATATACCCCCATTTAAATGTATATGGAGCAGGGAAAAAAGTTCTAAATCTTTACTTACCCACAGAAGGAGGCATTACACTTCAAACATATCTGAAGCTGGAACACCTCTTTAAGACTAAAGGATTTATCTGCTTCGAACAATATGAACAGTATTGACCTCGCAGGCTTGAACTCGTGCTCCTAACTAAATGCAGGACAACATCAGACGACAGGAGCTTGAGCAAAGTCCGACATTAGGCACCACTCACTTATTCTATTTAACTTGAGCACATTTCTCCGGCCTCAAAGGATAAACATGTTAGTTAGTGATAAATCCAGTGACCGAGTTCTTACCTTGGACTCGAAGTCCACAATACGCTGAACAAAACTATCTCTGCAAAGCTCTCAAGCTCCTATTTAACTGAACCCATTGCAGCCTGATAGTCAGAAGTGCTGAAGTTATAACCCGTTCCTTTGTGTTACTCCAAAGCTGCCGGCCCTTCAAAGAAATAACTACTCAAAGCTGCAATACATCACCAAGAACCGGCAGACAACACAGAAGAAGATCCAACGGTTGGAAATCTGCACTCTTCTTAAAACTTATTTGCATGTAATTCTGGACATTGATCATTTGGCCTGGAGAAAAGTTTCATCAAAGCTTTGTGTCGGCCTGCGGATTCCACAGACTTTGTAATAATTAATTGCCGATTTCTAGGAAAAGTTCTCAAAGAAAGTGGATGCGCACCATGTCCAGAAGTTGGCTTTCAGCCTGATCTTTATTAGAGACTCGGTCTGAATCACTAAGTAAAACAATTTTGAGAACTCGTTGGTTTGGAACAACATATTTCTCAGCATCATCTAGTTATTCACAAGATATAAAAAGCAAACTTAAAATAATTGCTGCACTTTGCCATAAGCAAATCTTACAAGGGATGGTAGTAGATGCACAAGGGGCAATTGGTACAAGTATCGAGTGGGACGTCCATTAACTGTACTGGTGTCTAGAAACTGGCCAACAAGAATTCTGAGGGCTCCCTGGCATCATGGACCTGCCGTCTGTAGACGCTGAGATTGGAGTCAGCCCGGGAGAATGTCTCATCTGTTATGAAGCTTATCAGATCTCTTCAAAGTCACGATCACCCAAGACCTTGCAGTGTGGGCACACGCTGTGTCTCCAATGTCTAATGAAGTTGGTGTGCCACAGCTTGCTGATGACTTTCGCAGTGTGCCCGTTCTGCCGCTGTGTCACCATGATACCCGAAGAAGGGGCCCAAGCCTTAAAGACGGATGAGGAGACCTTACGCAGGTCTTCTGTGGCCACCGTGTTCAGCACCACCTCTGATGATGCATTGTATGAGAATGCAGAGTTTTCCAACCAATCACTAACACTTTCTGAAGGCCACACTCAATCACCTAGACTGTCCATCTTTACAGTTAGTGATGTCCTGGTCCCTGACCAGGGCCAGATATGGGGTGGAAGATACATGCATGAAATCCGGAGCACTTATCTTCTCGGCATCAGCCGTCGGGTAGCATTGTCTGAAGCCCATCCATCTCCAACATCAAATTCTTTCTCTGCAGACAGTTTAAGACTTTGCTTAGCTTTGGGGCTGATCATCGGTCTTGGTTGCATCTTCTTCCTTCTTATATTCTTCAAATAAGCACAAACTCCCCACAAACAAGACACCAAGGAGGATATCTGCCATCTTGCCAAGCAAATACAACTGGTGAAACTGTCAAAAGCCCTAAACTAGACTGCTCTAACCATGTCACATTCGGCAACTTAAGCACCCTCCATCAGCCAGAAAGGAGCCATTAGCCCCAGTACATTCACAGTTTCAGTTTGTCAGTGTTTGACGGGTAATCGATTGTCTAAACCAGCCCTGATCTGCACAGTTCAAAACAAAAGGTGATATACAGAGGGTGTGTATATAAAATGTGGTAGTATGTTTGCTGTACAATGGAAGCACCACCGCCGCAGTGATGGCTGTATGTCTTTTCACCCCAGGATCATTCACAGCTACATATTCTTACAAGACACACCAAACTTGAGCAACACATGCTGTGTCCATCATTTACATTCACCAATGCTGTACTGCGCAAGCAGGACATTTTTTGTTGCCGAACAAAAAAAAAACAACAAACTGTTGGAGGTTCTTCCAAATACTTTAAATAGAATTCAGCACTCCTGACAGCCCCTCGAGATGGGTGCAAAGTACTAAAGATCTTCCAGCCCCCACACTGGAATTCAGTAAAAGGGACAGCATATTTGACAGTGACCTGCCGAGAGGTGGACACCTTGTATTGTGGGACGGGGAAATGGTAAAAAGGGGCTGGCTAGATAACTGCATACTGTGTGCACAGCAGCCTCAGAGGCTCTCAGACAATGCTGAAGACACATTTAACAAAAGGTAACTAACCATCGCTGCCATCTTGTGTGCTGTCCTCACCCTTGCTAGTTTATTGTGTAAAATAGGCACAAGTTACAAAGCATTAGCACGAAGATGCAGCTCTGTAATTTAGACATGAGACTGCCATTTTCAAATCGCATTGCACTTAGCTAAAAATAACTTACTTTAAAAAGCTGTGCTAGCTTTGTGAATTGGGCCAAATGTATGCTTCGTGGTGCCTATAATCTTAAGGAGTATTTGAGTTCTGAAAGAGCTGTACGCTGAGAACAGTCATAAATGAAATTCCAGCTGCAGGACAAAAAATTAAGGTATGTGGTTGCCATAGGCAACACAGATGCTTTCCTTTCAGACATTCTCGATCAATGCGCTAATTGTGGTCTGTCAATGTGATAACCTGTTGGGCTGTGTTACTATATTATGTCATTGCATGGCTTGTGATTGTATTATACTGTCTACTGATACTATGAAAAGGTAGAATAAAACTGTCCTATGCCAATTCTTTCAGCAAACGCTCTACCTTTATTTATAAGCCAAATAAGTCAGGTCATTCACAGGAACCTTTGTTCTGAGATGATAATGCTTGGCTGCTGTGGCTTGAATCGCATCATATGGGATTATTTAGGAAGACAGAACAATGACGTAACTGTGGCTGAAGTGTAATCTCATTGGTTGTTCTGGGTTATTGAGCAGCACTTGTTTTGCAGGGTAGAATACAAATGTTCTGGCAATAAACACTAAAAGGCTGCATTTAAAAAGCAGAGAATCTGACATTCATCAAACATTCACTGCAGATGAACCTTCCTGGTGCCTGTGTTTTAGAAGAGAATGAATAAATCATCTCCAAAGAATATTTGGTGAAAGTCACATGTACTGCTTTCTAGTTATGAGACAAATGGCGACATACCCATGCCACCATTACACAAGAGTAGTACAAGGGCTATTTATTGATGTCTCTTGGGACGGTGGAGAAGGCGTGAACCTCTCGGTTCTTATATTGCTGTTTTGTATCCTGTTGCAGACAGTTCTCCTCACTTCCTGTCATAAGGCAGCCAGAACCATTACTAGGGGCTTCCACCATCCCTGCCGGCATTTTAGTTATTTTATATTATTATATATAGTGCCAACAGTTTGCACAGCGCTTTACAATATAAGGAAGACATTACAATCACAAGACAAGATGGTAAGGAGGGCCCTGCCCATGAAGGTTTATATTATGGGGAATTCAACAGTTGGAGCTGAAAACAGACATCATACAGACTTCCGAGGGATGTAAATCCAGAATGCAGAAAACAAAGTCAATATGAAGCTGTTTTATTTCAGCATAATGTGCTTCTGGCTACTACAAAGAACAATGATATGTTTGTAATACAGATATGATCAGTAACAGTAACTTCCGTTATCGATTGATACCATGATCAGATGGCATCAAAACAGGACACAGAAAGAGGAACCATTTTTCTGTACTGTGCTGCTGTCAATGCCTTCTTTTTGCAAATTTTGCACTTATAAACGAACCTTCTGCAGTGCATTATGGGTCATTGATTAACTACCGCAGTGCATTGCGAGCTACATTGCTTTTTGCCATCATTTGGGTCAGACTCTGCTTCAGCAGTACGCTATGGGCTGATTTGTTCATCCAGCAATGTGCTGAGGGTCCTTGTAGTTTGGCACTGCAATACAGGTCTGGCTGCTCTTCCTGCAAAGCATTGTGGGTTTTCACATTCGGCTTTGCAAAAATCCAGTTATTGATGTAGACAATCCAGTGTGCAGGCAACAAGATGGCTGAGCGGCCCTCTACAATGAGCACATAAGACAGAAGTAGGTTTGTATTCTTGGCTCTGGCACTGCCAAGCAACACTGAGATGGCTTGCAGGTTCCAGCGTGCAGAGGTCGCTTTAGGACCCTCTCTGTCCATAGTGCTGCTAGCCACACGTTTGTCTCCTTAAGTATTGGGACTTATAAATGTTGTCTCAAAGATAGACACCTACTGTGTGTCATTATTACCCTAACCAATCCAAATCATCTTCCTCGTCCTCATCATCACCAAAGAGAGGGGCTGGAGGTGGATGACCCTTCAAGCTCTGGAAAGAGAACAAACACCATGCAAAACAATAAGCAATGATTGAAGAAATAAAACTCAACTTTAGACATACAGCTTAGTAAGAAAGAGCAAGCAGACATGGGGAACGTCCCTATTTCTAGGACTGTATCTCTAGGGACTGTCTTGGAGTTGCACAAACAAGCTGTAACGTTTTGACTTTCTGTCCATCTCCATCACATCTCCCGATGCTGGATAGAAATAGTATAAAGATATATACAGGAATGTGATCAGAGAATCTAACTCAGTCTCTTTCCCCCCCCCCGCT